TAATTGAGTCAGGAAAAAAGCCAGAGGGTGTGTGGACGGGTTCTTGTTGAAGGCGATTGTAAAACTTCTCAAATGGTGTGAGGGAAGTGCACGAGTTTAGTTTGGCAGGTGGAACAGCAAAGTTGAGGCCCTTCGAAAGGATTTCTTTTTCTTTTTGGGTGATGAAACGATTTGAGAAATTGAAAACCACGTCGTCAGGGTTGATTGGGTTTGTGTTAATCTGTCCAGTGCTAAGGCGAAATATATTGCGGTCTTGGGTGCGTTGTTGATGGCTTAGTTTTTTTGAGTTCTCACGATCAGAAACATGTTTTAGGTGAATGAAGTCAAGGTTTGAAACCAAAGATGCCAGTCTTGAATGTGCGGACAGTAGCTTGTGATGACAGTACTCGTATCTGAGCTTGCTTTGTGTTTATTTCTTCTTGTAACAATTTGTGTTGACATTGTCGTTAGGCGCTAGAGGATCGCAATCTGCGACTAGCAACCTTAAACCATAGGAATCTTGGTATTATCGAGCGCTTCTTACACGTAATAAAGAACTCTAGGTCGAGTTTGGCTTTTCCAAGCTTGAGTTCAAGACGCTGGAATTTCCTGAACGCTTCGAGTGCTCCGTTTTTGTAGCGTTTATTTAAAATCGTGTTCAGAGATTTGCCAGGCGGAAAGCGAATTTTCAATATGAACATAATAGCCCAACATAAGACTTTTAAAAAAAGCCTTATAAAGGTAAAGGAGTTGTTATTCTGAATAAAAGAGGATGGAAATTCTAGCGGACACATCGAAATTCGAACTTCTAAATGATGATGCCATCAAAATTACACTGAAACGCGAGAATCAAGTAAAGACTTCGCTGAGAAAACTAAAGGCAGAAAAATGCATAAATGAAAAAACATACAACGAACTTCATCCCACTGGTACACGTATCGGCATACTATATGGACTCCCTAAAATTCATAAATCCTCCATCCCTCTAAGACCAATCTTATCTAGTATTGACCACTACTTCTACAAGCTAGCCAAATTCTTTATTCCTTTCCTTACACCAATCTCCGCCAGCTCCCATGTTATCAAGGACTCTTTCTCTTTTGTCCAAGATCTTTTACAAAGTGACATTAACGCCAATAACGTTGTGATGGCGAGCTTTGATGTTAAATCATTGTTCACCAACATCCCAGTTGATGAAACAATCGCCATAATAACTAATCACATCTTCTCCAATAACACGTCCTTTCAAGGCCTTGACCGTTCATAATTCACTCAACTTCTCTCCCTCTCGTCAATAACTGTCATTTCTTCTTTAACGGCCAAGTTTATCAACAGAATGATGGTGTGGCTATGGGCAGCCCCCTAGGCCCAGTATTTGCGAACATATTTATGGCCTTCAATGAGAATTCATAGCTTCACCATTGTCCCTCCACCTTTAAACACCTTCTTTACCAACGTTACGTTGACGATTGCTTTCTACTCTTCCGATCATTGGATCACATACCTCTTTTCCTTACCTATCTCAACCACCAACATCCTAACATCTCCTTTACATCTGAACTGGAAAAAGACAACACGCTCCCCTTTATTGACGTAAAAAATAACTCGCTCAAACGGCAAGTTTTCCACCTCCGTGTATCGTAAACCCACTTTCACTGGTCTCTTCACCAATTTCCATAGTTTCATTCCCATTCAATACAAACGCTCCTTGATCTCCTCTTTACTTCACACAATTTCAACCTCTGTTCCAGCTATGAACACTTTCATACCGAACTAGAAGTTGTTAGAAAATTGTTCACCTTAAACAACTTCCTTCATACATATTTAACAATCATGTTCACCGCTTCCTCAACAATACATTTGAACCCAAAGATCTTATTCACACTGCTATTAAGAAAATCATGTACTTCTGTCTCCCTTTTACTGGCCTACACTGTCTTCAGATTCGCACTCAAATCACTCGACTCTGCAATGCTGCCTTTCCTCATATCAACGTTCGCTTTGTTTTTCGTTCTTTCAGGCGTCTCTCCTCTTTCTTTCCTTTTAAAGATAGGGTTCCCAAGCTCCTGAGATCTGGTGTTGTATACTCATTTAAGTGTCGATGCTGCTCTGCATCGTATGTGGGCCAAACCACGCGTCACTTACACACCAGAATATCAGAACACTTGGGAATCTCTCCCTTAACAGGGAAGCCTTCCTTATGTCCACCACCTTCTACAGTTCTTTCTCATATAAGAAATACATCTCACTCTGCCGATTTTAATGATTTCTCAATTCTCTCTTCCTCTTCCGATAATTACGACCTTATGATTCATGAAAGCCTTCTTATATCCAAACTTAAACCCTCTCTTAACACCCAAGGCAACTCGATCCCCCTTCACCTTCTTTAATACACCGCCATTCTCACTTAATTCCGTCATCTAAACTTCCTACTCCCCTCACATGTAATTTAACACCCTGTAATATATGCTTGTATTTAAAACCTCGTGTATATAAATTAACTCAAATAATCTGAAGATGTCTTATTTAAGTTAAAGACGAAACGTTATTAATAAATCCTTCTCTATTTTATTGTGATGGCTTTTTAAAAGTCTTATGTTGGGCTATTATGTTCATATTGAAAATTATCTAAAATCTACGGAATATTGAAAGTTATCTTTATCTACTAGACTCACGTTCTAAAAGTCTTATAATGAAGCATTCCTTTGAACTAATATTAGAGAGCAAATCCTTTTCTTCCTTTAAAAGCAAAAATTGCAGCTCAAAATGATTGATAAAGAAAATTAAACATTAGTAAAGGAATATTACATTTCTGTTAATGAATTAAACTTATATACACTATGTCTAGTCATAAAAGAGTATCTTTCATTTGTATTTTAGTCCTTTTGTTTATATAAATATTTAATTTTTAATATATAAATATTTGTCGCTTCATGGCAAGCGTGACTTCCGGCTAAATGGTACGATTTGATAAGCTTAGAAACATTTTTGGAGATTCATTATATTCCTGTAATAGACCACGGTCCAAAACGCAGAATTTTACACTCAAATGTGAACAAACTTTGTAATGAAAACAGCAAAACGCAAACCAAACGCAAATAAAAAGCTATTTACGAATGTGACTCGAAGAAAAAACACTTAAAAAACTGTTTAACTAAATATCCAGACGATACAATTTGAAACGATTTATTTTTTATGGACAAAAACATGAAAATTGAAAGCCAACCGGTAAAAATACAGCAAAGACGAGAAAAAATGCAGCTTCGTTTCAAGTTAAATAATGCCATATAATAAAGCTTTTAACAACCTCACTTTCTCGGACTTTACTGAGAAATATCAGACCTGATACAAAAGACCTCGCATTCGGATATTAAGCGCTTAATAATTTAGTTATTAAGTGTTTACGTATTTAAGTGTTTTATAAATTACTTTTGTGTACTTTATCATTTTGAAAATTTCTACTTCATATGCCCTTGGTGGAAATTAACTTAATTTGATGAGGTAGCTAAACGTCTTTGAATAAATATTTCATTTATCTATCAAAATTTGCATAATTTTAACAAAAGAAGTCCAGTTTTCGAATACACTCACGTGTTATGAATTAGCCAACATAGATTCAAATGCACATGTTTACAAGTTATAACCAATAGAAGTCCAGGTTTTAAGCATCATTGTTGTGATAGAACGCCCAACGGGCGATAGTTATTAAATGACATTCTCAAGTACAGTAAGAATAAATATACTTCAACTCTTTTTTTAAACAAAAAGGTATGTTGAGTTTTTCAACATTATTATAAGAGATAAGTGCTTTGATTGTGAGTAAACACAATGTCTGTAAATCGTAGACAACAGGTAACTTCCAGAAAAAAACGCGAGGATGAATACTTGTAACTGAAGCAACTTGACACAAATTACCAAAGAACGAGGTCAGACACTCAGATTTCGGACATTGTCGATCAGGATCATCAACGCAATCCAACGTATAAAAAATTTCACCAGAACGCGAGCCAATAATAAACGTCTTAACAATGTAATCAAACGGACAAGCTGTGGTTACAGCAATAAGTTTTCCGTCAGGAGAATAACTGATATCACTAAGAATATGACGTCACATATGGCATATATTCATCTTTTTTAAAAAACATATATTCATCTTTTTTAAAAACTAGTAACGTGTAAAGTTGCAAGATTTAAAGAACTTATATTTAGAGATCAAAATGAAAACTTTTTAACGGAAAACAATACATTAATCAGTACCATACTCACATAATGAAGCCTGTTGCGAGATTACACAGAATATGATACCAACATGAAACCTTTACAAAATAGGTTATTTGTGAGGCTGAACATGGTAGGATATGGAAAGAAGCTGGAAACACCTCCCTTTTAGCAATTTTATGGCTGGTTGCCAGAACTCAGCCTTCTATGACCGATCTTGCTGGAAAATGATTGCAAATTGTAAATGGCACAATCTACATGCGATTAGCTACTATAAAAGGCAGGAAGTTAACTCCATTGTCAGTATTAGATTTACACTCTTCGAGATTACTCTAAGACAACTTCATCCTAATTTTTGATTGAACCTTCCAACTTCACATTCAAAAAATTTTTTGGCTGGCTGAAAAATATAATTGTAGTTAAAAGAAGTTGTTAAATTACGGATTTTAGCAGTAGTACTTTCTTGAACTGCACCATGTCAGTGTGAAAAGTCCATTTATTAATTTGAAAATTTGGTTAAACCTGTAAAAACCTGGACTTCATAACATAAGCGTTCAAGCAAGTACGTGCACATTCTGTGGGTGTCTGCAGACCCAAACGCTCATGTTCCCCTAAGCCCTTGATTGACATGTTCTTGTTAAAATCCGTTAAAACAATATATTTGAGAGGAACTTTATCCTTTGAAGCCAGCACTTTTCAGATTGACTCTTACTTGGCTTCGTGATTGTGCCTTATTTGTGGCCATGGACAATGGCAAATCATGCTTATAAGAATATTCCCTCATCCCAAAAAACATGATAAAATTTTCATATTGTGGAAGCGACATTGACCGTTATGATTTATTTAGCAAAGTACTAGTTCAATACTCAGAAATATATATAAAGTATAGCTAGTAGCAAACCTAGCCCAATATTTTACTCCTACAATGCAAACTTTCACTAAAATTAGAATAACAGTATATGAAGTTGATAGATTTAGTCTATTTGATTGTATTTCTGACGTTGGACAATTTCACTGCCTTCTGCCTTTTAATACAAAGATAATCTAACCTGCTACGATAGTAATCTGATATAGTGTAAACGTGGCCTGAGTACAGCACAGACATGACCTGAAGAAATTTAGCGACAAATCTTAAAACTAATCAATATGTTGATACTATAACTAAAATGTTTTAATTTTGTAGATATGATTATATAGAAATGTCCATACATACACATTGCCCAATACACGTTGGTAATTTGATATGAACTTAGTCTCACAATGTTCTCAGTGAAACAATTGAATTTGTACACTTAAAAGAAAAATCTTCACCCTCATGGCAGCTGTTTCCACTCGTAATTCAAAATCGAATCAGCCAAATAAAATTTGTTCATGCTTTCTAAGGTCTCCACTAGTTTGCTCCGAAATTGAGTTTTCCACTTTTTGGACAAGATTGACAAAATCTTCTCTGCCTTTATTTGTTGATTTTCATAATTCGTATCTGTTTGCACATTATCAATTTCGTAACTTTCCATATTCATCATGGCAGCCATTTCATCCCAGAAACTTGCTATATGACAACTCAGTTGACATATTTCACGAGTAGTTAAAACATCTTCATTGCTGCTTGTCTATGAAAAGTTTAAATGAAAAGGATTGCAAATTTGTCACTGAAGATAAATTTCGTTCATCTAGCGCGGCTCAACACGAAAAATAATAAATCGTTGGTGTGCAAGTTACGTCATAGCTGTTGTGTTAGATGATTTTAACAAAGGTTTTCCCTTATTTAGAATGTTAATGTCATGCACCATGGTGAACATTCCATTGTTCTCTCAATCCCAGGGAAATGGTTGCACACCACCTATATTGCTCTGACTTAGTTCATATAAACTAAGTCTGCAAGAGGTCGAACTGACGAACAATACGAATCAACTGTTAGAAGTACGTAAACTATAAAACTACAGTGAAGGCAGAAGGACCGCGTCATTTCCCGCAATTTCAATTTTACCTTATGTAACTGCTTCCAACGTTCAAATTTTGCATATATTTTGATTATAAAAAGCAAAAATGCACCCATAACATTCAAAAACTGTCCATTCCTAGCTGTAAAGGCTAAGTCAATCGTTTTGTGCATTAAAGGTTTTTTCACAACAAATGCCACAGTGGTGAACTGCTCTGCAAAAAAATGGTGACAACGTGTGCCAAAATGTTGAATACCTCTTTTGTTGGAGCCAAAATTTCATCCAAATCAAGGTATATTTCTCCAAGGTATTTCTTCAATAAATGTCGATCGAAATCTGTTCGTTCATTAAAGATCTCCAAAATCTTTTTAGCCTTTGCGGAGGGATTTGGAAAACATTTGTGGTTAACAAAAATTTCATCACGTCGTTCAATAGGTATTTCAAGAAGACCACCCAGTTTATTCCAATCAGTTGCAGCTTTCTGACTAATTTTTTCCATTTCCTCTGTTGTTAGTTTAGTGAAACGAAGATCAACTGAAACGGATCAACAAATAACATAGATATATGAAACTCTTATAAAACTTCGCAGAAAATAAAATTCCTAAAGTAATGCCCAAAAATCTGAGAAGCATTGTTTATGACGAACTCAAAAAACTAAAAACTAAACACACTATTATAAAAACTAATAACAAGGCTATGATCTTAAACACACTTTAGGCAAAACCATGGTCATCTGAAATGCAATCAGCTAGGCTTAGTTCTGAAACATATAGATTAAAAGTGACTTTTTGATCTGTCATCACATGTTCAGCGCAAGATGACAAAGCTTGCAAAAAATGCCCAATGACTATGGGAAGAACTACGAAACTATTTAGAGGATGAATTATCAGATATTCATTTCTGTTCGACTGGTTTATTTTGAAAGCGATTGTATAAATTTTATAGAAATCAGTCGGGCAGAGCTGAAAATATTAATCTTCACATTCGCAGTCAGAAAAAAACGCGATCGTGTCGAGTTACAACTCGTTGTAAAATAAGCACATTTCAAAAGACATATTTAAGGAGATGCACTAGAATCAGGAATGCATTACCAAACTACTTAAGAGACAACAATATGAGCCTTAGTCAGTTCAAGGAAACTCTTATGTACCTCTACTGTTTCTAGATTTTGAAAATTTTCTTAAACCCGCATGATTTTTTACCACTATAGAATTGAGAACCACATTTTAAATTATCAGTAATTTCGCTTTTTTAATGAATAAAACAGTGTGCTCTCTATCATGTTTTATGCATGTCAAGCATCATCATTCGACTTTTACGATACGTGAGGTTAAGAAAGGACATAACGTTATAAGCAATAATATTTGTTAATTTCATACCTTTATTCAAAGATGAAAATGACTCTATTCCTTGAAAAGCTTGACTTTCACCATCAAACTAAAACATCGATCATTGAAATGTAGCTGCATTCACAATTCACCAGATAAATGAAATAAATTTACAAACTAATAATAACTTTATTAATATCTAAATATTACTAAATAAATTAATTACTATTATACTAACACGTCCTGAACTTCCAGTGATGTGTCGACATTTTTAATGTCACGCCGTTTAAATTGCCTTAAAATAAAAAAACTACGTTTTCTGTGCATACAGTATCTGGGTATTTTCCAATCATGCTTATAAGTATTTATCAAGTTTGTACGTGTCTTAATCGGATTTGAGGAGCGTATTTTTTAACTGTTTGAAGAACGTTGATTGCTTTGACTGCTGCGTAGGAGCTTTATCCTTTTTTTGGTGTCCTTTCTTATCAAGATTGAGCTTATTTCTATTTTCTCGATGTAATATAAGTTGTTAGCAGTATATGGTCCTCGCTACTCAACACATTTCATCCAGTTGCTTTCCGTTACGTTGACGGAAAATTTCAATGAAATTAACAATCAAACTCAAAAGCATTGTACAAGTATGTATAGAGATTGTCATATCTGCTTCAAATGAAAGTCATATGATCATAATGCAACCAATAAGAGAGTACAAACGATGATAGCCACATAATAGATATCATAATAGATATTTAAGAATGCAGACTACTCAACTTTTAACTTATATTATATTACCACATCTGAATTTGCATGTAACTTTCAAAATTGCGAATTTGGTAACATTTTTGGTTTAAGTAGTCTATTGTTTTATAGTTGACCAACCCAAATTAATTAAAATTTAATAAAAGTTTTAGAAATTCGTTTACCATATAGTCATGCAGGTTTCACCGTTCTCGAGTTCATACTCACTAAACTACCGTCGTTTTCTAGAAAATTTTTCTAAATGTCTACTGTTAGAAGTAAAGAAGACTTAAGACAGATTTTCCAGAAAATAACGGTAACTGGTCTAAAAACTAGAAGCAAGTAAATAAATATTTTTAATTAAATGTACCTGATTGTTGGGAGACAAAATTTCATCCAAATCAAGGTTTATTTCTTCGAGGCATTTCTTCAATACATATCGATCAAATTTCTTTCCTTCATTAAAAATGACTAAAATCGCTTTAGCTTTTGCGGAGGGATTTGGATAAATTGTGTCGTAAACAGTAATATCAGCACGTATGTCAAAAGGTATTTCTAGAAAACCACCCAGTATATTCCAATCAGTTCCAACAGTCTGACCAATTTTCTCGATTTCTTCTGTTGTTAGTTTAGTGTATCTAAGATCAGCTAAATCTAGTAAAAAAAAACCATTTAAAGAAACACCTATTTATTACACATCATTAAAGAAAAACGTGAACGTAAAGTCAATACACATGACACCGTATGAGGATGCAGAGAGTGATTTAGCTACTGGGAAGCTCTTACACTATATAAATAATTTACGATAACACAGACCGTATAACGTATATCATGCATAAAATGTGACCCTTAAATCAAAATTTTGTTTTACCATATACTTACCTTGAAAACATCGTTTCTTCTTCTCTTCTCTAGGAAAAATAGCTATGGAAAAAGCACAAAGTTCGTGTTTGCATGACAAGTCGACTCAAATAACAATATTGGTAACAAATTTCATAATGTGAATATTATACGTACGTTTATGTCAACGTTTTATAATGTTACTAACATCTTAAACACACGTTCAAAATTAATTTGAAATAAAAAAATTTTTATTGAGAGAAATAAAATATTCCGTTTAAAATTTATAATTAAATCTCGACACTCATTCTTTCTAGAGAGAATGATTACGCTTTAGACATTTTACTCTCACTTTTGATTCAAAATTTTTACAATATATATTTATGGTAGTAATGGATATTTGTTCTCATAATAATTTTTCTCTTCGAATTCAAGTAAATAAAGACTGATGAGCGAAGAAATCATGTCAATACCACGTAAAAATATTATGTAATCAATTGCTATCGTTTAACGACCACTTAATTTAAGTGTAAAAAAAAATGAGAAAATTCAAGCTAGTATGCTTACCTTTAAGTTCTGGATTGTTTTTCAATTCTTTATTTGACCTGACAGCAGCATGTACCCGAACTGGGAGACTGGGGAACGTTTTAAGAAAATACGCATTGTAATCGCCAATCTTATAATATGGTTCTGGTTGTGGTAGAGGTCGTGGTCGATCGTTCCAATGTTGGCCAATATTTCGAATGAGCCTTAAGCATTCTGTCCATGAAGATTTATACTTTCTTCCATTTACCAAATATTTATAAACATCGCTATCCATTTGACTTTTCCAATATGAAGATTCAATATTCAATTGTTGGAAAATACTAGATTGAGGATCATTGGTTTTAACCTGCTGAAGATTTCCAACTTTACATAGTAAGTCAAATTTCTCGTCATCCGACATAAGAAATGGGTGTTTTAACGCCTCCTAGCCGATGGTCTGTCTTCAGGTTTTAGATTTAACATCCACGACAGAAGGTCCTTTAGTGTTTCATCCATGATTTCTTTCAAGCCAACAGGGTTTCCATTTATCATGTTGATCTGTCTATATAGTTTAGTTCCAAAAGGATGATTCCTTTTTGTTGAAATATAATATGCCACAATTCCTGCATTCTAAGATAATAAAAAATGTAACGGTAACAGCAAAATTAAAATATCACAAAATAAAATTTCGCTGTGAGTTTTCTAAATGTTAACATTCTTGCACTTACATATACATCAGACTCTTTTTTGTAACGTGCTTCATTTGAATCTTCATTACGTGCTTCATTTGAATCTTCGGCTTCACAATATGCTTCAGGAGGAATCCAATATTCAGCTCCCCGGTTACAAATGCTTTTGTGTGTTTCAGATCCATTCTTCAATATTCGGCTAATGCCAAAGTCAGCAATAAGAAATTTGCCGTCTACGCCACGGAGAACATTGGAAGGCTTCAAATCCCGATGAAGAATAGGATCTGGGCCACTATGAAGATCAGCTAATCCATTTAAAATTTGTCTAAGAATATCGGGAAGAGCTGTTTGAAGATCATGTACAGTAGAATTTTTCACAAACTTCTCCAGTGATTCCTCACATAAGTCTAAGATCAAATAAACATATTCTGATCCAGTATCTTCCTCAAAGAAGTAATAATTCACAACATATTTTGAATTTTTTGCATTGAATTCATTTAAAATTTTCCTTTCATGATGTGCAGGCTGGTGGTAGTTATCTCTACGTATTCGTTTCACTGCTTTACCGTAACCATCCTTTGTCAGTCCAAGATAAACACGGGTTTCATTACTTCCTTCGCCGAGGCGAAACTTATCCGAGAAACTTACACGTACATTGCCAACATGTTTAATGTCTCGTCCGGGATAACACAATTCTGACAGTAGACTTCTATGCTGAACTGAATGACCAAGATATTCCCACCTTTCTAACTGACAATCTTTAAATGACAAAAAAGTATCACATTCAGAGGTGAGTGCAACAAAACTAATCAAATTCATAAGAATAGGTACCTCAAATTTACTCAAATACGACTAAAATTTGGATAACGACTTTAAATTTTTCTAAAATCTTAGCACCAATCATTAAAGTTGTCAAAAATTAATCAATCATGCAAACATATATGTGTTAAGATTAAAGGCAAGCGATACAGAAAAATGTTGTTTTTAATTTAATATAGCACTTTCGTTTAAACAACGCAATGCTTACAAAGTTATTTTTAGTGTAGAAAAATTAAAGTTTTTAAAGCATGTAGCTATTTCTTATGCTTAAGTATATATTTATAGTGGAAGATATAACAAAACGGCATTGTTTCAACAAAAGATTTTTCACACTTTTGCCTTTTAGATAAAGTCCCTAATCTTTGTTACTAAACTTTTAATGAAATGACAGAAAAAAGAGTCTTTACTTGTCCAACCTCCATGCTCCACCATCTGTCTTATTCCCACTGCCACTATCTCAAAAACATACAAGAGGGTTGGATTTGTACTGTTTTTTAAGCCTTTCTTTTCATTTAGTTGAAATTATTTTGGCATTTAACACAAAGGACTTTTTCTCCAACCCATCCACATACACTCTACATCAATCTGAACTTCTACTTCGTGTAACCTCATTACTCTTTCCTCTACATTCTAGAGCATGATCCCTCTTCTCCGTTGCATGAAAACGTTTGGCCTATGGTTAATTTACACGAACCCAAACCGTATAAATAGATAGTGTTTGAAAAGAAAATTGCTAAAAATGAGCACTTTCCTAACTAAAGCTAAGACTTCGTTATTCATGATGATAAACAAGTAGAGTTTCCCCTTGTCTTCCTTCAGGGTATTCATACACCTCCTATTGTTTGGTTTATCTCCACGCTTCTTACCATGTACATAACTGATAATTGCCTTCACCCTATCTACGTAGGCCCTGTTTACATGAGACCGCGACGAAGTCAAACCGGAATGATAATCAGAATTTGTTCCTCATTTGAGTAATGCCTCGTTTGCAGGCTAATTTTACGCTTGCTAGCCATTTTTCTTTGGTAATTTACTTTTGTGCACGTGCGTTGATGCCATTTCAGATCGGTCTGAACAGTAATAGGGAGCTTTAGCAAAGACTACGAGTACGACTACGAGTACGATTTACGTCATTTTGGCGCGAAAACATTGTTGCGACAACAAAAACACGTAGCCGTCATCAATCTGAGTACGATGTTTTGTAAAAAATTCGTAGTCGCGACTACGATGTCTTTTTAAGCAAAGAAAAGAGGTATATTTCTTCATTCTGTAAGAAATTAGTTTACAGTACTTTTTTCGAGCATCCAGGCTTTAATTTAGCACCTTTTTTTAGCGCAGATGTACATTAAAAAGGAAAATATGACCTGCAAAACTTTTATTGTATCATTAAATTGCCAAAAGAATACTCAAAATTTTTCAAGCAAAAACAGTCAACGCTATATAAGAATATATAATAGAGCTGTGACAATGTACGCAATGTTTATAATTTGTACATGACATACGAAAATTTAAGTGGTGAAAGTGGTGGATTCCAATCAAAGCAATAAAAACCATGTAATATAGATTGTAAAACTACACTTTGAGGTATTTCACGATTGTAATTAGTTGATTGCAGTGCAGTTTATCTGTAATCACAAAATAACAGATCGTACCTTACTATACTGTATCATATTTCGTAACACTAATCATTTCGTACTGAAGTTGGCATTTTGTTAGTGTAGAAACATGTTTGCATATAAAAAATCATCGTTTTTTTAAATAATTTTGAAACTTTCTGCTTAGAAACTATAATAAAAGTTTCATACTTATGCCATTACATACATTTCGTAAAATAACAGTTTGAAATTCGATATTTCGTTATTGACATTCTTGTCTGACCTCTGTTTTGACGTGTGCTCATTACTTACGTCATTTTCAAATTTAAAAACTATGCATAAAATTTATATAATATGAAACGAAATGTCTTTCTAGTGTAAAAACATTGCTTCTATAACAAGCAACAAATACAAATACTTTATTTCTCAAATCATGCATATTTTTAGTCGGAATATTCAAAAGCCATTCGTCATTATAAATTTACAATATATAACTTCCTCGCACACAAGCGTAAAATTTCAACAGTAATTGTGCATGAAAAACGTTTAAATCTCTACATTTTCAGCACACTTGATCTCATATTTGGCAACTACAATATACTATATTTACTACAACAAAAACTTAAACAAAAACCGACTTCTACTAATGGATGTAATCTTTATTAAATCCTACAAACCAGAACTTAACAATAGCCTGAAAGTCAGTAATACAATCAACATAATCTTCCCAAAAATTTACATTTCCGCACATACACTTCCTTCGAAATGATGGAAATAAACAGATATACAGGGGGCCTCAGTTAGCTTGTAAATATTCATCGTCTAATGATGAATTTGTTATGAATTCAAAGCATTTCAAAATGAAATAACTGTCTCGATTGTTTTCTCAAATATTGAGGTCAAAATGGACCTTTTCTCCGGAGTATGTTTCTTATTTCATTCATGACACTAAATATTATACATGTAGTCAAAAGTGAGGGAAACGAAAACAATAGATCATGTAAAAGTAACTCATATTTTTCCCAATGCAGAAAAGATTTTTCCACTCTCGACTCTTGCTATCTAGAGAGACTCTTTACTATGTATTTTTATGATGCAAATGTGACTACTGATAAAATACCACGTACCTGATGAAAAATAGAGAAATGTTAACAATATGTCTACATCATGCATTAGCATTGAAATAAGTCATTTTTTCGACTGGTACAATTACCATAGCCTATATATCCATAGCTGTCCTACTGTTTATAATTTCGACAATTCGACTCAAATAACAGTATTCTTAACAAATTTCATAATGTGAATATTATACGTACGTTTATGTCGACGTTTTACAATGTTACTAAGATCATAAAGACACGTTCAGAATTAATCCAATAAATCATCAAAACGACTTTGTGTTTTCGTTGTATGCATACGTAATAATAAAATTATTTTGGTTCCTGTATACTGAATTATAATATCAACTGCAACGATAACTGACCGCCATCTTTGAGGACAGTATATGGTAGCTATGCAGGTCGCTTTAGTTCTTTTTTGTTCAAAAATGGCAATAGATGTATCAACAAAAAACATAAAATGCTGCCGCTTTTTGTTGTCTATTTAATTCCTTATATAAACCCATTAAGTAGTAAACTTTTCGAAAAATTGTTGGCCATTTTGTTTGGTGAATGATACAGATCTGCCTCACTGCAACAAAAAGGGTTAAATCAAGGGAGTACGTATATATTTGCAAATTGAAAAGTCAAAAGACGTGCGAATAGGGTAAGTGCAGGTCTCCTCAGGCCTTTTCAGTGCCTTAATCTAATTATTGAGCGTTTATATAAGTTATCGTTCCACTTGAACTTACTCTTCAGTTTTTCTATGGTAAGAAATTTTTATTAAGAAAAATAAAATATTCCGTTTAAAATTTATAATTAAAGCTCAACACTCATTCTTTCTAGAAAGAATGACTACGCTTTAGACATTTTACTCTCACCTTTTATTCAAAATTCTTACAATATATATTTATTGTAGTAATGGATATTTTTTCTCATAATATTTTTTCTGTTCGAATTTAATTAAATAAAGACTGATGAGCAAAGAAATGATGTCAATATCACGTAAAAATATTATGTAATCAAATTGCTAGTGTACAACGATCACATAATTTAAGTGTAATAAAAAATGAGAAAATTCAAGCTAGTATGCTTACCCTTAAGTTTTGGATTGTCTTTCAATTCTTCATTTGACCTGACAGCAGCATGTACCTGAACAGGGAGGTTAGGAAATGTTCGAAGAAAATAAGCCCTGTAATCGCCAATCTTACACAATAGTTCTGGTGGTGGTCTTGGTCGATCATTCCAATGCTGTTCAATATTTCGAATAAGTCTTAAGCATTCTGTCCATGAAGATTCATAGGTCCTTCCATTTACCAAATAATCATATACATCACTATCCATTTGGCTTCTCCAGTCTAAAGTTTCGCTATTTAATCGTTGAACGACAATTGACTGGGAGTCACTTGTCTTAATCTCCTGAAGATTTCCAACATTACATAGTAAGTCAAATTTCTCGTTATCCGACATAAGAAAGGGGTGTTTTAACGCCTCGCTCGCCGATGGTCTGTCTTCAGGTTTTAGATTTAACATCCACGAAAGAAGGTCCTTTAGTGTTTCATCCTTGATTTCATCCCAACCAACAGGGTTTCCATTCAACATGTTGTCCAATCTATACCGTTTACTTCCAAAAGGATGTTTTCCTTTTGTTACAATGTAATAAGCTACCATCCCTGCATTCTAAAATATCAAAAAGCGTTACATCAAAATAGAATTTCACAACATTGTGTTTCTTTACAACTTACAAATGTTTACATTCCTACACTTACATATACATCAGACCTTCTTTCGTAACGCGCTTTGTTTACTGAATCATCTACTTCGCAATATGATTCTGGAGCTATCCAATCCTCAGTTCCTCTGAAAGTATTGCTTCTATATGTTGTAGAGTCATTCTTTTTTATTTGACTTATGTCAAAGTCAGCTATCAGAAATTTGCTTTTTGCATCTCGCAGAACATTGGAAGGCTTCAAATTTCGATGTAGAATAGGATTTGGGCCGCTATAAAGATCAGCTAATCCTTTTAAAATTTGTCTAAGTATATCGGGAAGAGCTTTTAGAAGATCACTTAAACAAGAAGACTTGACAAAACTCTCCAATGATTCTTCACATAAGTCTAATATCCAATAAACATATTCTGTTCCAGTATCTTCTAAGAAGAAATAATTCACAACATATTTCGACTCATTTGCATTCAATTCATTCAAAATTTTTTTTTCGTAATGTGCAAGCTTGATGCAGCTATCTCGATGTATTCGTTTCACTGCTTTACCGTAACCATCCTTATCCAGTCCAAGATAAACACGGGTTGCACCACTTCTTTCGCCAATGCAAAATTCATCTGAGAATATTACACGCACATTTCCAACCTCTTTAACCTCAACACTGGGATTGCGTCCATATTCAATCAATTTTAAAAGCAATTCTCTATGTTTTGTTGATTCATCAATGTATTTCCACTCTTCTAGATAAAAATATTACATTCAAGGGTTAAAGAAATAAAATAAATACGTCGAAATAGCTTAAACTTCCCCAATTAAGAAAGGATACTGATACCGTACACTTTTAATAAAACGTATTAAGAATTACTAGACATATCATAAACTTTTAACTGGTAACATTCGAGGTTAGCTTATACCAAACAATTAATCACAAAAACTCTCTGCAGCAATTTCATGAATTTTTGTTAAGGAGTAACTTTACGTTTTTCAAAAATACTAAATTAAAATGTTGAGAGCATACATTTTTTAGAGTCTACAAAAATTTTTATACCAAAAGATAACAAAATAGCTTCATTCAATTTTTCTTTCTATTCTCGACACTCGTCTTTTAAACAGACTATATTATGCTTAATGCCAAACATTAACATTGAAGTTCGATCCCTACAATTACTCTCTCAAACCTTGTTTGGACATCTTAAAGTGCCAATGAAACGAAAATTTTTCTAGTTAAGTTATATCTGTATTGACCAGAACTTTTGAAATGACAGAGTGCTTTCTAAAACCTTTTCTGCGTGACTTTTTTCATTCTAAAAAAACTGAAGTCCTTGCAATTACCAACTTATCTAACTTGTGACAACATATTGCATGCAAAATAAGTGGTTGCAATAGTAGTATAGTACATGGGGGTTCTAGATCACAAAAAGTTTACTTTTTGTTATCTATACCCCCCATGTACTATACTACTTATAACCGTGGGTAAAAACTATCTTTATAACAGCGTAAAATAAGACCATGGTTCAAAAGGCGTCCCTCAGTAAAAGGTCATGTAAAAAAGCTGTGCAAAAAATCGTTATTTCAAAGCAGTGTGAAAAGGCCATATTTCAAAGGCGTCCCTCAGTAAAGGCCATGTAAAAGTCATTTGTTTCAAAATATGGAATCTATATGTTTTAAAACTATCTTTAGAAATAAATGTTAAAGAAAGCATCAGTTCGGGAGGCGATCCGGCAGCACAAATTTAGCGTAGCTAAAATTGAGCAGAGGATGGGATCGCCGAGAATTCATGCGACCTGGTGGAGTAAAAAATTCTAGCTTTAGCTAGAATTTTCAGCTCCCGTGGGTCGAAGGACGACAGAGCTTAATATATGCTCTTTAAAAACTATCTTTAGAAATCAAGTGTTAATAAAACATCTTTACAAAATATGGAATCTATATGTTTTTGAAATATATAGGTGCGTTTAAATTTTACAAACAGTCTTTACAAACAAATGTTAACAAGCATCGGTTCGGAGGAGGCTCGGCAGCACAGATCACGAAGTGATCGAGCAGGGGAATGGAGCCTCCGAGAATTCTAAGTGACGGCGGGGAAAATTTTCACGAAGTGAAAATTCGGAACGGCCCCGTAGATTCGATGAATATTCGAAGAATATTCGAGAATAACAGAGGCTTAAGAAATGCTCTTCAAAAAACCGTCTTTAATAATCAAGTGTTAATAATCAAGTGTTAATAAAATATCAGTATCAGCGCGCTTTTATAGTCGACGTATATTTGGTAAACTAGTGGCTTTTAACAATGGTCTGAAAACCCAGCGCGTGGTATAAATATTCTGTAATAATCAAGTGTTAATAATCAAGTGTTAATAAAATATCAGTATCAGCGCGCTTTTATAGTCGATGTATATTTGGTAAACTAGTGGCTTTTAACAATGGTCTGAAAACCCAGCGCGTGGTATAAATATTCTGTAATAATCAAGTGTTAATAATCAAGTGTTAATAAAGCATCTTTTTAAATCGTTGTTAGGGGCGAAGAATTTCAGGCAACTAAGCCTGAAATTTTGAGCGCAACAATGTCATAGATGCTCTTTACAAAACTATAGAATCTATATGTTTTTTTAATTTGTCTGTCAAGCGAGTGTCATATAATTTTTGTTAAAATTGTTTTTAATAATTGTTTCAGGATTTTGAATTCTTTTGTATTAATTACTTGTTACAAACAGTTATGTGATATGTAATCAAACATGAGGAGCAGGTATGTATGATTTTACTCTAACAGAGGCCTACGCTACATGCTTACTACACATTATAACTGTTTGTTAATATTTAGTTATTTGAATTGATAAGATAATGACCATAAGCATAACTTTTACATCCATTAGCTAATATATACCGTTTATCATCAAAACAGCTGAGTGATACTTTATTAATTTCATAACTACTAAGTTGATGGTTTACACTTCTAATAGTTTTCATTGTATGATGTATTTGTTTCTTTTCAAATAGTGTTTGTTTATAGTCTTCATGTTTTATTTTGTTTTTAATAATATTTTTCTTAATTCCTTTAGCTTTCTTATCTCCTTTATTATTATCTTTAATATAACTATACATCTTACTTCTTAAACCAACAAATTCTTTAATTATATTTCCAGAAGCTTCATCTTTCATTTTGCCGATAACTTTTTTATTAGTCTTATCATAATATTGAGAATTTTCTGAATAATCACTGAAATCAAATTTATCTTTATCATTCCAAAAATCTTGATAGACATTTTTAGTGCTAATTTCATATGTTAAACTATCTGTATCTGTGAAAAGAAGTTTAGCTTTATCACCATATTTCTTCTTGATATAATTGTAATGAAAATCGTACATTAATACTTTACTTAAATCTAAGATGCACATACCCACATATGCCGGCCTATTAAGGGTTAGTGTTTCTTTGATCTTATGTACAGCCACAAGGTTCTCATTGAAGATTTTACTACTTACATAAGTAGGTTTTGAAGCTAATTTTAATAATTTATCTTTATTAGTTACTAGTCTAACATCTACTCTTTTTCTTAAGTTTTCCATCGTCTTACCAAAAACACTGTTATTCATAAGTTTGAAGAAGTCTTTTTCAAAAGAATTTTTTGCAATAGTTCTTTTTTGAGTATTAAAGTCTATATATTTTTTCAACCATGGAGATTGATTAAATTCAAGTACTCTATGTACTTTAGTTAACTTTAACCCTAGATCTAAGTATAGTTGAAGATTTCTATAATGCAGCACATACTTTTCTTTATTTTTTAAAGTAGGTATTAATTTTAAAACTAAACCTGTTGATATATTATAATTAGAAGCAATTGTCTTACAATATTTTGACAACATATCACTAGTTACTTTAACTTTTTCTGGTGCAACAGGATAATCATTATGTAAATCATGTAGTTCTTCAGGGTATTCTAAATCAACTTCTAAAATTAAACCTTTTGTACTATCTGCATTGTATTTAGCAAGGTTTATGTTGTTAATCTGTTTATTAGTTAACCATTTGAAACCACTAGTAGGTAAGTTTTGTGACATAGCCCATCCATATAAATTATTTGCGTCAAGATACATTATATATTTTGAGGGTTTATTCTTATCAAATGTTTCTATATATTTATTATTAGCCTTACCATATCGATTAGCAATATAACTAATACCTCCTCTCATACCATTTTCGATGAATTGAAACATGTCAATATCAGTCATTAGTTCTAATTTAATATCTGTCATTTTAAGCATAGCGTCCCAAGACAAACCAGGAGATGTGAAATAGTGACATGGGTCTAATTTATAATATTGAAAGCATGTTTTTCGAAAGTTTTCAAATACATCAGCTAATAACAAAACATCAGATTTCAGATACAAGTTGTGATACTCACCCATGTTTTTGAGATTGAATGTATTCCACACTTTTTGTGCATGGTTATAAGAATCATCTGAGATATTCTCATCAGTAAGAATACTATAAAAATCTTTTTTTGAAGGCAGCCCATTATCAAATTTTTCAAAGCTATCCATATAATCATATGGGTATATACCTTTTTTAGTCATTAAATTAAGTTTTTCACCTTTAAACTGATTAGATGTATATTTAAATGATTCTTTAGGTAAATTACTAACAAGCTTTTCTAAACTAGAGCTCATAAATTGAAAACTATCAAGAAATGTTAAATGGTTACCTAACATGAAAGCCATATATTTCTCCATATTATTAGGTATAGCATTTATATTCATATGCGTTTCCTCACCTTTTTTGTTTTTGTATGTATGCTTATTAACAATAGCTCCTATTTCTTGCATAATAAAGTGGCTATCATATCCACGTAGATTGTGGAATATTACTGGTATCTTTAATTTATCAGGGTATATTCTAAGTTTTAAATTACAATCTTGATGGGCTGATCCTCTGTATTTACCAGTAATATGACAATGGTCTCGAACTCGAATATCGTTTTTAGTATATTTTTTGTTACAGATATGACATTCATCAGCTTTTTTAAATTCTTCTTCATTATTAGATGTCATTTTTAATGGTTTATTAAAGTGGGTTTTCATAATATTTTTACAATATTTAACTTCTTTTAACATAGCTTCCATAAATTTGTAAACAGCTTTTTCACCTCTATATAGTTTAATTTGTTTACTAAATTTATCATCATAACAACAAACAACTTTATATCCATAACCGCAGTCTGTATGCTTCTGATAAGCTTCTGTATATGATTTATCGTTGTCTTGATGGCAACTAGATATCTTTTCTGTGATTGCTTCAAAGTCAGCATATATAACAAATGGTACTTGTTGTTGTTTATGATAGTTGCTGAATTTAAGTATGTTGTTATTTTTATCAGGCATTCTTATTGATTGTATACCATTTATTAATATACAGTTTTCTATATGGTTATTTAATATTTTTTCAGAACTAAAACATTGAAGGCAACGCATACAAAAGTGTTTCCTTTCCTTATGCTTTGTTTGATTGTACATAAATGCATTAAAATTTTTTATTAGAATATAATGTTTGTTTTCATTATCAGTTATTAATAGTAGTTCCATATGGTCTTTAAATTTTTCTTTTGATATATAAATGGGGTATGGTTTTTTATCTTCATACCCGAAGACATTAATGTTAATTTTGTTTTGCTTTTCGATTTTATTATATTGTTTAACAGTTACTGGAAATTCGATCCCAGAGTAGTCTAATTTGTTAATATATTCCT